TACTTGTAGTTTCAAATTTAGTATCTCCTCTTACTGAATCTGAAAAAAAAGTTCTTGACATAACCCAATTAACATGTATAATTAGAGCTTTCAGTAATAATGCTGTGATTAGAAACTTTTGTGTACTGTGCATCATAGCAACTGAAGCCATCATTGGGAGAGCAGTGAGTGTAGATAAACGAGAAGAAATCTGTCTGTCTATATATGTTTTATTCTGTCTTTGCTATTGATTACATGAAGGCATTGAAGGCCCCCTGACACTTTCATAATTTGTTAATAACGAAGAAATGTGTAAATCTCTTTCCAAGATACCATAATGGGAAGAACAATGGTAATACTTTATACACAACTATGTAAAGTTTTAGACTAAAAAGCTTCCATATAGTTGCTAAATATATACATTTTAGTTGAATGAATTCCTCAATTTATTTGATCACAGTAAATAGGAGATTATTCTCTTTTATCTAGTAGAAGGGCACACCATTGGGAATTATACTAAATGTGTATATGCACTGAGGGTAGCATTAAAATGCCTACTGCATATATAGAGGAAATTTTAAATTCTGGAGTCATGCCAAAACATACTAGGTTGACAATTGCATCCCTTCATATTTGCACTGCTGGGATCACAGAGATGCTCAGATAGATGTGATAATGACACTGCGGTTCAAGTGACAATATGAGGCAAAAAATAATAGTAGAAGCAGTGGAACCATATGACAATTTTATAGACCTTAGAAAGAAAAAGAAAACATAGACCAAATGAAAATTGGGCCCCAAGCTCTGTCTCTCTTCTCCGTCTCTTTCTCTTTCTGTCTGTCTGTCTCTCTCTCAGCATATCTCTCTCGCTCTGAGTTTTCTAAATAATCTTTTTAAGACAAATTTGGAGTGTCATTGTTCCTGGCAAATACTTATACATTGATAAGGAGATAGAAGAGAAAAAAAAATGAAGATTGGTAATAGAGGAGAAGACAGTAGGCTAAATGTGAACTTGCAAATGCAATTTTTACTGCAAAAGGAAAAAAGTCTGTGGGCTAAATTACTTCTGAAAACTATTCACACGTCTTTTTCCTATTTGATACTTTTATTCTCTTTGTGCAAATTTTACAAATTTCAGTTAGTTACCTAAATAAACTTCTGCCAGAAACCAAGAGAAGACCATTAATCTCATCTGCCAACAATGAAGCTAAATCAGGAACTGAAATCTCCTTCCTCAAGGCAACAATTAAGCGAATACACCAAGCAGACCGCTACACTATCTTCTCTGATCTAAACAGAATAACTAAAGATGTATGCTAATAGTAACATCTCAGATTCTTGATTTGACTTACCATCTGCAGGGCATCACATTTTGCTCACAATATGAACTGAATTCAAGTAATGCGATAAGTCTTGAGATTCCAAATTTCAAGAAAACAGATTGAAATTTTAGTAACTAAATCCTTCTTTGCAAATTAGACATAGAAATGAAACCAGTGCTTTAATAATGTTTTTAATCCTGCTCAATCTATTCACTAATATGAGAACTTGCTGAAGAATTGAGCAGTATACTGTAACCTACTAGACATAGACTCTCACTATTGGGTTGACATTCACTAAAATTTACAATTATGTCAAAGTAGGATTTTATAGTAAAGTTTTATTTGCTCTAGCCAAATTTTAATCTAAACTATTGGGGAAAATTCTGCACTCATCCAGTGCATCTGCATGCTTTTGACTAGTTAACATGTTAATCAAGAAAAGAGCTATGCTGTCCAACTATTAAATAAGTTATTTGGAAGAGAAAAGAAATTTGTCGACGAATGTGTGAGTGAAATGTTTCCAAGAAGAAATTATAAATGGACTCTATTTTAGTTCTCTCCTATTACGAATGACAGGTTTAACATTCTTAGAAACCTTAAGAATATAATAACATCTTTAAAAGCCTCTAGGGATCATTGTACATTAATGTATCAGTCAGTAAATTATTTATCTAAAAATTAATCTTCCTAAACAGATTTCCATCCCTCTTCAATTTGAAAGCTAAACTTCTGAGTCTCCACTTCAGCAACTTCATATCTGAAGAGCCTACATCTGTAAAAACATTTCAAATGAAAACACTAAGACAACCCCCAGAGAAGCAAATAAAATGGGAATTAAGTATATAGCAGCCTTTCTACAGTTACATTCCTAACAATAGCAGATTCTAATTTGATGCCAAACAGCGGTTATATAACAAAATCAGTGAGCAATCTAGTTCTTTTAGTTTCAGTAGAACATTTAGGTACTTCGGCAGTTCTGTCTCTATTTCCCCATTTATGCCAATATGGATGGATTACGTGTCTCCAAGACCTGGAAGCAGAGGGCACATTAGCTAGGAAGAAGCATGATCGTACACTAGAGCAAGTGGCAGAAAAAGGGTGTGATGAAACGTCTAGGCTCCAAGGGATATGCTGTTAATACAATTGCCAAAACACAAACGTCTAAGACGGATTTAAATTTTCAAGTCATAATTTAAAATTACTCAGCCAGACTTTAACAGGCTTACACAAACCACTTTATTGGTTAATAAGACCACTAACCGACAGTAAGACAACCTACTACCAAAAAAAGACACTAAGCTAGTAGTGTCTTTACTATACTAGTAATATGTTTTGGGTGTTTTTTTTTTTGTTTGTTTTTGTTTTTTTTTTTAATTCTCACTCCAATTTACATCCATGGTCTGGACTATCTCTTAAATTTTAAAAACCAATTTTTTTTTTCTAAATTGTCATTAAAGATAACGACATAATTTTATAAAACATGAAGGCATTACAATTCTAAGTTTCGAGGAGTCTCCAGCTTATCTTTAGAACTCAGGATTTAAATGTAGCCATTAGTTTTCACTCATTTCAGGTTTTGGTAAAGGTGCTATAAACATTTAAGGAAGTACCTTTGATCCATTTCTACAATCAGAGAATGACAAGATGTTATCTTCAGAAATGACAAGTGACTCTTGTGCAGAAAACTTTCAGCATGAGAACACTGGGTAAGCAGATTTGAGGCACAGTTTGAAGCAAACTTTTAAATTGTGGTAAAATATATAGAACATAAAATGTACCATCTTAATTATTTTTAAGTGTACTATTCAGTGGAATTATTCGCAATGTGTGCAACTATTTCCATTATCCATAATCCAGAGCTTTTTCACCATCCCAAACAGAAACTCTGATCCTATTGAACAGTAAGTCCCGCTTCCTCTTTTCCCCTAGTTCCTTTCAGCCCCTGGTAACCACTAGTCTACTTTCTACATCTATGAATTTAAAGCAAACTTTTTTTTTTTAAGCAAAAAACAATCCAACAAACAGAACTCCTCCACTTCTACAGGGCCTGGGTAGTCAGACCACAAGTTCATAAACCTGTCAGTGAGGCCATGGGGTCCTATTTTCCCCTGCATTTCAGCCATCAAATTTTTTTACATCTATTTTGACAGGTAGACCATACACAATCTTTTCATTTTTTTATGAATTTAGCGAATATTATCTGAGTGCCTACATATGGCCAGCACTCTTTTAGTTCTGGAAGAAACTCAGACAGACCTAGAATGTGAGGTCGCTGCCCTCGCAGACCTCACATTCTAGTTGACACTGCTTCACTTTATCCCCGAACTCTGAAAAAGCATGGAAGAGTGTGCAATTTTGATGAGATACTGATGATATGTGTCAATAACTCCATTTTCAGCATTAAATTGCTAGAACATTATCCACTTTTCACTGTTATATTTGGTCAGTGCTTTAGAGGTGATAGAAGAAAAGTTGAACTCTTTTCCCAATGGATGAATATTATGATGAATATTATGCCCTTATGTTGGTCTTCTGAATCTCTATATCATTTAATTCAACATCTGATAAAACATATAGAAACTAGTGATAGTTTAGGTTTTCTAATATTTTCTATTTTCAATATCCAATTTGGGATTCCATTATATGAAATGCCTAGAATAGGCAAATCCAAAGGGACCGAAAGATTAGTGGTTGTTAGGGGCTGGGATAGAAGGGAATGAGGAGTGACTGCTAATGGGTACAGGGGTTTCTTTTTGGGGTGATAAAAATGTATAAGATAGTGGTGACAGTTGTACAACCTTGTGACTATATCAAACACTGAACTGTATACTTTAAAATGGTGATTTTATGGTGTGTGAATTATATCAATTTTAAAAATGAAAAATTTAGGTATTCAATCAAGTTAGACAAAAAGGTAGTGAGAACACATCTTTTAAGTTCATAAATAGCTACCAGAGGGCCGTTCCTACAAACTGTAAAAAACAGGTTGGTCCATTCTGAAGTGGCTGCAAACAAGCAATATATGCTGGGGCAATCTGTGAACTCAGATTCAGGTTGGGCAGCATCTGGACAGGAAGTAGAGGAGAAAATCATCTGGTCAGACGAGACTGTCTCCCCATCAGCAGAGGCCCTAATACGTCCTTAAACCACACTCAAACTCCCACATATGGTTGAAGCAACAGGAATTCAGGTACAGATAGAAATTACTAGGATTTATCTGCAAGGGAACGTCTATGTTTATACAGACATGGTATTAGATATACCTGGTAGACATTACACACCCTCCTATGCAGTACATGCCTGCATTAAACATGGAAACTAGACTTTTTCCATGAAAAAAACACAGAAATTTTAAAGGTAAATCTGATTTCACCTTCAAATATATGATATTTTCCTGTTATTGGAAACTTATTCACCCACCCATGCCTGCACCCACTCACTGATTTATCTACTGTGGTCATACTCATTAACTCCTAGGCAAAATCAGTGTAAAAACATTTGATGCCACTTATAAATGGAATGGTTATTGCTAAAAGGACTACAAAAGAGAGTTAAAATTTTAGACTCCCCTAGTTGTAAAACAAAAAAATAGTATGTAAACACTTGAGAAAAAAAGACAGTCATTTGAAATAGGAAAACCCGAACACTTTGCCAACTCTGTTTAGAAAAAAAAGAACTCAGGCTGCTCAAGAACTCAGAGATGCACACAATTATGATTTTATTTGTTAAATTACAATAGCCAAAAGAGCTTTACAGAAGGGAAAATAAAATACACATCCATTTTAGAAAAGCCCTTTTTGTTTCTCTAAATCAGAGGCCCCCTCTAGTGTTTGAAAGCAGTCTCAGGCAACACACAATGCAATTGCAGTAAACAGTCACAGCATTTTACCCCAGACCTTTCAAAACAAAAGGCATGCTTCTGTTCCATTCAAGTGGCACAAAAATCAATGAGAGAAAAATAGCTAATCATAATTAATATTGCAAATTCCTGCTATGATTCACAGATTCATTATCCTCTCATTCAGTAATTTATTATTTACTGCTGGGTTATTTTTTAGAAGATTAATACTCTGTTAATAAGGAAAAAAATAAAAGCATAGGGACTTTAATTTCCCTAATAAGAAATATATCTCATTTAAAATGACAGAAAATTAATGTTACCATATATCCTACTCTGCTTTGATGGAAGTTATTGGTAACTTCCTAAAGTATATACTTAATTATATTTGGAAATCAGAACTTTTTAAAGTACATATATTTTGAAATTCAACCTAATCTGTGACTTTGCTAAAACTTTTTCAGTACTCTGTAAAAGGAGGTGGGAAGCGTTGCTTTGAGGACAAATGTTGGCTCTGAAGAATATGATATAAAGGAACTCTTAGAGTTTATACAGACATGGCACTGAATAAATTCAATGACTGAATCTCGTGCACTTTGAAAAAGATTGACTGAAATTAGGGGGAGTAAAAAATAGTTGATTTTCACTCCATTTTTTCAGCTAATGTCTTTATGTGTCTGTTTCCATGTTCTATTACAGAGGGTTTAAGCTGACAGCTAGTATTACTATAACTGGAAAATAAAAACAAATCTCTAATTTTAACAAAATAAAACAATGCAAACTTGAGGAAGAAACCAACAGAGAAAACTATATTAAGCTAATACTTCATGTTCTTAAAAGTTATAAGTACACTGAGAATTTGAAAATTCAATAGCTCTTGAAACAAATTTAATCTGTATTAACTTTATTTAAACAAATGACCAATTTGTCACCAAACATGACATATGGCTTCTCTGCACTGATCTTACTTTGTTTTCAAACTTGTCACTTGCAAATATTATAAGAAAAAAAGGTCATCTAAAATGAGTTAAACTGGTTACAATTGGTCTCAACTTTTAAAAATTTACATTCAAATGGAATAGGACGCAGCTTTTTTAAAGTGCAAGATACACTCTTTTGGCTCAACATGAAATATTATAGAACTGGAAATTACCGCAGTCATTTCTCCTACAACTAACTTAGTGAAAAGCTGTTTTGAAAGTTAGCCATCAGATTATAAACTATGAAAAACACTGAAAAGTCATTTAAAATGAGTATATAAAATGCAAATTACAAATAAAACCAGTGTGGGAGAGGTAGCATAAAGTAAATAAGATCAAATAAATACTATACAATAACATACAAAATTTTGCTTATAAAAAATTGAAAATACCATTTTAAAACATCCATTTTCCTCACTTTTGAAGGTTTTACAAAGAAATTAAAATTTAGAGTCTCTATAAAGCTCTTCCAAATGTTATTAATTACTGGCATTGCTTTTTGCCAAAATCTCTCTGATCTGTCGGTCGAGTTCACTTATTATTCGATCCTCGTGATTATACACACCCGTTCTCATCAAAGTATCCCTTTCTTCTATTAGGCGAGTCAAATAATCATCCAAGCCTTCTTCCAATACACTGCCATGGGGACCATCCTTTTTTCCACTTGCAATCTCTCTGGAATCCTGGTATTGTTTTTGCTCTTGTTGCCTTAACCTGAGAAGTCAAGAACAAATGCCACTCTAGCAACTGTGTTGGTTTTCTTAACGTCACTATTTAAAAACAAAATGATTCAATGGTAAAATAAGGTTTCAGTAATATTTTCAGGAAGAAAACAAAAACAATGTTCCACTTGGCTAGTCAACAGTCTGCACATTTATAAAAGGCAACTTTAAAAACAATACTTGTTTTTCTAATTACAAAATACATGAAAACTAGATATTTTGGAGCTATGTAAAGAAAATAAAAATCATCTGTAATGTGATCCCAATTTGAGTAACATTTTTCTGTATTGCTTTTCAAGTTTAAAAAATGCATATATGTACTTAAAATATGTATGTGTTGAAAAACTTAATGATACTACATATGCAATTCTGTATACTACTTTTCTCATTTATATAGTGATTTTTTTAGATCATTAAATGTTCTTCTAAATTGTTTTATAATATTCCATCATTTGGGGTATCATCATTTTGTCATCCTTTATTATTGATCTTTAGGTTGCTCGTTTTTAAACCTTTGTTGTTGCTGTTTTGAACATATTAAAAAAAATTCATTCAACAAACATTTATTTGTGCCAAACAAGTTTTGGGGATACAGAAGTGAACCAAGAAAATTCCCTGCTATTATGGAGTTGTATCTCTAATTATTTGTAGAAAGTGAAATTCTATATGTATGTGTGGTTCAAAGGGCATATGCATGTTAAGGTTTTGTATGGATATCTTCAAGTTATGTTTGTTATAATCTCATTTGGGGATGAGAAAAGGAGAGTAGATACTGACCTGCGATTTGGTATTTCCAATAGAACACTGTTGATCAAACTGTCTTGAAAATGGAGCAGTAATAATAATACTTAGTATATTTTGTTTGTTTGAGACAAGGTCTTACTCTGTCGCCCAGGCTGGAGTGCAGTGGTGTGATCACAGCTCACTGCAGCCTTGACCTCCTGGGCTCAATGGATCTGCCCACCTCAGCCTCCCGAGTAGCTGGGACTATAGGCCATGCCACCACGCCCAGCTAATTTGTGTGTGTGTGTGTGTGTGTGAGATTTTATATATATATATAGTTTTGTAGACATGGCATTTCACTATGTTTTCCAGGCTAGTCTCAAACTCCTGGGCTCAAGTAATCCACTTGCCTCGGCCGCCCAAAGTGCTGGGATTACAGGTGTGAGCCACTGTACCTGGCCTACTTACTAAGTGACAATAACACTAAGTTTGGATATGGAATATGTTTAATGTAGAACGTACAATTAAGATATAATTTTGGCTGGGCACGGCGGCTCATGCCTGTAATCCCAGCACTTTGGGAGGCCGAGGCAAGCAGATCACCTGAGGTCGGGAGTTCAAGACCAGCCTGACCAACATGGAGAAACTCCATCTCTACTAAAAATACAAAATTAGCTGGGCGTGGTGGTACATGCCTGTAATCCCAGCTACTTGGGAGGCTGAGGCAGGAGAATCACTTGAACCCGGGAGGCCGAGGCTACAGTGAGCCAAGATCGGCCGCTGCAATCCAGCCAGGGCAACAAGAGTAAAACTCTGTCTCAAAAAAAAAAAAAAAAAGATATAATTTTATATTTTTCTATATTAGTGGCTACAAAAGTATTTTAATTTGCAATGATTCTGATATTTTGTCTTGATTGTAAGACAAAGCAGTTGCATCTAAGTTCCTCCCTTTGAGACTGGCTTTTCTGTGGCTTATTTCCGCTGAAGACTAAGTCCACTTCTAAATTTACACACAAGTTGAGGGAGAGGGAGAAAGAAGCAGTGAGGAACGAGTCCTGCTCTCACAGACCAGGATGGCCCCAGAGGGTACATGACTGTTGGCAGAACACACTTTCATTTGTTCAGATGACCCTCTGAAACATGAAACTCCTATAATTCCTCACAAAAAAAAGGAAACTACAGTCCAAGAAGGATACCAAATGTCTTTATCTATTCTAAAACAAAAAGCCTAAACAGTGCAGGGCACTGTACTCTGGGACCTGGGTGGGAAATGGAGTGGTTAGTGAGACACTGGTACCAAAGTCTTTCCATGGAATTTGAGTGATTCATGTGGATAAGGAAGGGCAGATTTCTGAATCGTTGTTTCTCCTATGCCAATTCTTATAGCTGTCTTGGAGGACAGGGTCCTCTAGGTAAATTAATGCACACAATGCCAAACTATGTACCAGAAAGTTTAACCATTTCCCTTCTGTGCATCATCTGTCTATGCATATGGGACAAATGCAATTTTTGTACAACTGATAAATCATCTCTACCAAATCTTTGCTAAAATGCAATTATCAGTCATGATCACAATAGAATTTTAGAACCTGATGGCTGAAGAAGCCCATAAAGTTGTTAAAGAAAACTTTTAGAACATTCCTGACAACTGCTATTCTGGACTCTACAAGCACACTCCCTGCCACTAGGAATATATTACTGTGTAGAACTGCTCTAACTTAGAAAGTTCCTTCTTGTATTGAACTCGGTATGCCTCTTTATATTTTCAGTAATTGGCTATGATATTGCCTAAGAGGAGAAGCCCGCTTACTACTTCTTAATATGGTAGCTCTCCAGATATGTGAAGACAGTTACCTACCACTTTGCCCAAGAGTTCTTCAAGTTCAATATCCCTCACTCTCTTAACCACTTCTTGGATGGCATGATATATTGCCCCTTACTGTCCTGGTCACATTCCACTGGAAGCTCTCTAGGTAGCTGATTTCCCTTAAAGTGTGCTGCACAGTGGTAAGAACACCCCAGAGGTGATTTAGCAGTACTGAATAATGAACACTACTTCTATGAATGACCCTAACTGCACTGACTCTTCGGTAGCCAAATCACGCCATTATTAGTGGCCACAGAAGTTCTTCTAGGCTTCTACACATCACCTGTTTTATGTCTTATCTATCACTTAAGTGATTTTTCTTATAGCTTATACAGAGGACTCTGCTTTTGTCTCTAATATATTTAATCTTATTGGTTTCAGTTTTCTCAGAATCCTAATTCATTAAGGCATTAGTAAGACTGTGTATGATCTACAGATTTGATAGGCAACATGGATATCTTTAACCCACCAAATCAGTGCTTAGCAAACAGCAGGAGCTAAACATATATTTGCTAAACTGGAACCAAGAAAGTGCTATATATGACAGCAAAATTTTGGAAGGCAAGGATATTATAATTCATTAAGTTGTAATGTCTTGCAAGTCTATAACATGGTAGATACCAAATAAATATTTCCTGAATAAATAAGAATAAAAGTACCACAGATTGAACCCTGTTAAGCATGGTACTTGGAGCTGACCTTTTACAACTGGTATTTCTTCAATTATCTTTTAAATACAGTTATTTAATTCAGCTAGGAACCCACTTAATATAGTGACCACATTTTTCTCCACTTCATACATGGAGATATAAGATACTGTGTAAAATGTAGTATGTATGCTCTGAACTGCGTCCCTGCCAAATTCAGATGTTGAACCCCTAACCTCCAATGTGATGGTATTTGGAGATGGACCTTTGGGAGATAATCAGGTTTAGATGAGGCCATGAGGGTGAACTCTCATCATGGGATTAGTGCTCTCCTAAGAAGAGACACCAGACAGAGGACACAGCGAGAAGGTGGCCCTCTAAAACCAACCACACTGGCACCATGATCTTTGACTTCTAGCCTCTAGTACTGTGAGAAAATAAACTTCTGTTTACCCAGTCTATGGTATATTTTTTTAACCAGTCCAAGTTAACTAAAACTGCACTTTGCTCAAACAAAAATATACTAGACCCTTGATAAACTAAGCCAAAAAGTCTTCCCCCAAAACTACCCTCCAAAAAAACTAGAATTCATTTTTATGCTGCTTCCTAGTGATTAATTTTCTAACATGAAACACCGTTGAAGTTGTGATTAAGATGAACACAGCACTACAGAGAAGCCCAGTGTAGCATAGTAGTTAAAAATGCAATCTCTGGAATCAGATTTGAACTCTGGCTCCATGATTTACTAGCTACATAACCTTGAATAATGTGTTTAAGCTCTGTCTTTAATCTTCAATCTCTTCATCTTGAAATTGGTGAAAATATCTTCCTCACAAAGTAGCTTTGAAGATTTAAAAAAAAAAAAAGAGCTGGGCAATACAAGACATTTAAAACAGTTCCTGGCACAAAGTAAGGGCTCATTAAGAGCTATTGTTACAGATATTAATAATATGACTAAATTTGAAATTTCTTATACTTTATGTAAGTGAAGACTCAGTTCAATAGTAGCAATAATCCTGAAATCACCACATAAAAATAAATTTTAAAGTAGTAATGCTATAAATGGAAACACAAGAGCTGAATGGATTTGCCACAGCTGTATTCATAGCAAAAAAAAAAAAGTTTAATAGTCTTTGGCATAGATTTTTTCTTTCTTTTTAAATTTGACACAAGGCCTCACTCTGTCACTCAAGCTGGAGTGCAGTGTGGCGTGACCACAGCTCACTGCAGCCCAGAACTCCTGGGCTCAAACGATCCTCCCACCATCCACTCAAAGTGTTAGGATTACAGGAATGAGCCACAGTACCCAGCTGGCATAGATTTTCTATTGTATACGTCTGCTACATTTTCTATATTTTTATATATGATCTACTTTATCCTTGAAAGACCTGAAGTTGTACCTTCCCTGAACCAAACTTTGGTTTTTGAAAGAAACACTCTTTTAGTTATTATACCTGTTCAATTCATTTCTTATATCCAACAATTCTTGTCGCTCGGTTTTTACTGTATCTTTTTCCTCAGCAGCCAGGTAACGTAGTCTCATCTGTTCCAATTCTTCCTGCTGTTTTTTAAGACGAGCCATTTGACTTTCTTGTTCCCTCTTGAAAGAAACAAAGAAACAAGCCATATCCTTAATATTAGGAACAAATATTTCATGACTTTGACTTGTGATTATAATCCTATTTGACAACACCCATGATATAGCCACACATTGCCAATTCTTTTTTTTTTTAAGAACAGAATCTCACTGTGTTGCCCAGGCTGGAGTGCACTGGCTAGTCACAGGAGCAATGAAGCACACTAAAGCCACAGACTGCTAGGTTCAAGCAATCCTCCTACTTCGGCCTCTGGGCCCAAGTAGGAGTACCTGGGCCCAAGGTGTGTGCCCACCCTTGCACTGCTAATTTTATGAGTTATATATTATCCAGAAAATACCCAGGTAACTTTTCTCTAAACACTCTATTACTTCTCTTTTACTATAAGTCATAATCCTTCAATCAGTGATTGATATTAGCTGACTATCACAGGACAATAGATGTTGAAGGCAAGAAAGAGGCTGCTGTCAATACAATGAACTGCTAAAAGACTAGTGGTAAGAGCAGCATCTGAGAAAATCGTTATACAAAGATGTACCTAGAAAAATTCATTAACTGTCCCTGTACAAATCCCTAATTCCACTCCTACTTCAGTAAATAGGCCTTTCCACTCTGTTCTCTAGACTCATACAAAACCTATGCACATATGTTTTTAAACAAAAATGAAAACAAACAATACGTTCTAGTTTGCATTTTGAAAAAAGTTTAACAATTCTTCAAGTCAATAGATAAAGTCTTAAAATAAATGAGTAACATTCCACATAATGCATATTCCATGACTTATTCAACCACTTTCTCAATAACAGACACTTTTGTTACTACAAACACTGCTGTAATAGGACACTCTGTCATCTATCACACAGGTTAGCTCAGGAATCCTTAAGTCATTTTCTTTTGTTTAGGACAAAATCCCAGAGTGGGAAAGCTGGGTCAATAGGTTTCTGTTAACTATTTTTTAAAGTATTTATTGAATTGTAACAAAACAGAAAACTGCCAAATGACAAGATGCATTTTGATATATTTTCACAAAGTAGACCACTTACATACTCACCATCCGGAGATCAGACTGCCAGAATCCCAGAAATCTGTGTCTCCTCCCAGTCACTAACCATTCACCCTTTCCCAACGATAACTACTACCCTAATTTTAACACCACAAATAAGTTTTGAACTTAATATAGAATCTGTACAGTATGTATTTGTGTCAGGGTTCTTTCATTTAACATTGTTTTTGAGACTCATTGTTCTATGTAGTTAATCATTTACATTATTATACAGCATTCCACTGAATGAATATACAATTTATTCATTCACTGCTGAAAGACACTGGGCAGTTTCCAGTTTTGAATTATAAATAATGCTGATGTGAAGATTTTATACATGTCTTTTGGAACACACTTGTATGCATTCCTACTGGATATATACATAGGCTTCAAATTGCGTGGTCAGAGGATGTAAGAATTAGAACAGCCTTAGTAAATACAGGTTTTAGTATCCCTTATCTGAAATGCTTGGGGCCATAAGTGTTTTGATTTTGAAATATTTGCATATACATAACAAGATATCTTGGGGATGGGACTGTCTAAACATGAAATTCATTTATGTTTCACATACACCTTGTATACACAGCCTGAAAGTAATTTTACACAGTGTTTTACACAATGTTTTAAATAATTCTGTGTGAACTGTCACATAAGGTCAGGTGTAGAATTTTCCACTTGTGGCATCCTGTCAGGGCTCAAAAAGTTCAGATTTTGAAGCATTTCGGATTAGGGATGTTCAACCTGTATTTCCAAACAGTTTGCAAGGTAGTCGTATCAATTCATACTTCCACTTGAGCATTCCAGTGCTTTATATTCTTGCCAACGCTTGGTGATGTCATTTTTTTTTTCATTTTAGCCATTTGACAGGTCACGTAGTAGAATCTCATTGTAATTTTATCTTGCACTATTTAAAGACCAGTGAGGTTGAACATATTTTAATAGTTTTATGACATTTAGGTATCTTTGTTTATAAAGTTCCTATTTACGCTTTTGGTACTTTACCTGGTTGTCCATCTTCTGTTATTGATGCTTATAAATATTGGATAAGTCCTTTGTCAATTTTATAAATTACAACTATTTCCCAGTAGTCTTTGGCCTGTCTTTTCACTCCTTTAATGTTGTTTTTAATAAAGAGAAGTCCTTGATTTTAACATAGTTCAGATTTTTCTGTTTATTCCTTTTTTTTTTTTTTTTTTTTTTTTTGAGACGGAGTCTTGCTCTGTCACCCAGGCTGGAGTGCAGTGGCCGGATCTCAGCTCACTGCAAGCTCCTCCTCTCGGGTTCACGCCATTCTCCTGCCTCAGCCTCCGGAGTAGCTGGGACTACAGGCACCCGCCACTTCGCCCGGCTAGTTTTTTGTATTTTTCAGTAGAGACGGGGTTTCACCGTGTTAGCCAGGATGGTCTCGATCTCCTGACCTCGTGATCCGCCCGTCTCGGCCTCCCAAAGTGCTGGGATTACAGGCTTGAGCCACCGCGCCCGGCCCCTGTTTATTCCTTTTTGGTTAGTGCTCTTTCCTATTTAAGACATTTTTTGCCTGTCTCAGTCTGTTAGATATTCTTTTATGTTACCCTCCTGAAGTTTCACTTTTTCCCCATATAGAGCTCAAACTGACCTAGCAATATTTGCTGAAAAACACCTCTTCTCTTGTTGCTTGGCAGTTATTATTACCTGTCACATATCACCTCCATCCATATATGTATGTTTTTGTTTCTGGATGCTCTGATCTATTTATTCTTGCATTAACACTACACTGTTTTAATTACTTCAACTCTTGTAACAATGTCTTAATATATGATAGTGTAAGTTCCTCTACCTTTGGCTATTCTTCAAAATGATTTTAGCTATTCTTGGCTCTTACATTTTCATATAAATTTCAATTTCTAAGGCTAAAAAAAAACCTGCTGAGATTTTATGATGATTATATTGAATCCACAGATCAATTTGGCCAAAACCAGTGTCTTTAAAATATTGATTTTTAATCAATGAAATGGTTTACCTAATGATGTAGGTCTTAACTTTTAATAATAGTTTACAGTCCTCTATATGCTAAGACTAACATATTTGATTGTACTGCTAGATATTTTAGATGCTACTGTAAATGATAGAACTTTACAATTTTCATTTCCTAATTACTTTAGTAGACAAATAACATTGATTTTTACATATTGACTTTGTTTCCAGCAAACTTGCTAAACTCACTTATTCCTAATTTTAGATACTTCTTAGCTTTCTAAATACATCCGTGTTATCTGCAAATAAGGGTAGTTTTACTTTCTCCCTTCCAAATGACACACTATTTCTTTTTCTTGCCCTATTACACTGGCTAGAACACCTCTAATACAATGTTGAAAAGAAATGGTGATAGAGGGAATGTTTCTCTCATTTCTGATCTGAGGAAAGTTTCATTATTTTAAGAATGTTTTTTGTAGGCTTTATGTAAAAACTCCACTAGATTAACACATTTACTGTCTAGTCTTAGTTTGTTAAGGAACATGACTTTTTCTGCAGCTGTTGATATCTTTTTCTCCTTTACTCTTTGAATGTGGTAAATAACCAACCTTGCATTTGCTTAATAAATAAGCTTCGCTGTAATGCTTACAAGTTTAATATCTTAAACTTGTTATCTTTGATGTTTTAAAAGACTGGCCAATTAATTTTGTCCTTGTAGGCTTTTAGGATCAAGGTTATGCTAGTCTCGTTTTAAAAAGGTAAGAAGCGTTCTTCACTTCCCATTTTCTAAAATCTTTGTGTAAGATTAGTGTTATTTCTTCCTAAAATGTTCACTAAAATTCAAGTGTGAAGACATATGGGTCTGGAGCCTTCTTTGTGGGCAGGTTTTTTTTATTACAGATTCAATTTCTTTAATAGCTATAAGACTATTTCTATTTTCTGTATCTTGGTGTATCCGTTTTGGAAGTTCTTTTTTCAAATTCACATGAAATTGTTCATACTATCCTCTTATCTCTGTAAATGTCTGAGATCTGTAGTCTTGTCTCTTTTTTCGATTCCTGATATGGATAGTTACTGTCTATTCTTTTTGTCCTTGAATACTTGCTAAGGGGGAGTAGAGGGGTCCTTTCAAAGACATGACTTTTGGCTTTATTGATTTTTATTGTACTTTTCCTCTCAGAAATAATTTCTATTCATCTTATTTCCTTGCTTCCACTTTACTTTCTTCTTGTTCTACTGAGTTTTTGAAAGGAATATTTAGAGAGCAGATTTATTCGTCTTATTTGCTAAACATAACTGCGGTTATACATTTCCCTCTAAGCACAGCTTTCACTAAATTCCACACTTTGATGTGTTTTATGTGCACTATTTTTCAGTTCAAAATATTTTCTAATTTTACTGTGGTCTCCAGTTTACCATGGGTTACGAGAAGTACGCTACTTAATATTCACTCATTTGGGGACATTTCGTATTATCTTTTTACTTCTAGCTTAATATCACTGTGGTCAGAGAACATATTCTATATTACAATCTTCTGGAATGTGTTGAGAATTGTAATTTAATCCAGCATATAAGCAACTTGGTTAAATGTTCCATGTGCACTAGAAAATAGTGTATATTCTGGACTTTTTGGATGAAGTGTTCTAGAATATACCAATGGTTAGTTGTGTTGCCCAAATCTTCTACATTGTTACTTATTTTCGGTCTGTTTGCACCATCAGTTCTCTGGAGAGTTATGGTAAAATCTTCTATCATTATAGATTTACCTATTTCTCTTTTAAGCTCTATTAATTTATCTAATTTGTTGCTGTGTTACCAGGTACAAATGTACAATTGTTGTCATCTTCCAAGTGGATTAACCCCCTTTTATAACTATGAAAACTCCCTTTACCTACAGTAAAATGTCTCTCACCCTAAAGTCTGGTTTGCCTAATATGAAGTATTACTACACCAGCTTTCTCTTAGTATTATTGTAGTATATATTTTCCTTCTGTTAGAATTCAACCATCT